CTAAATCCTTCCTAATTAAGAAACAACATGCCAATGCAATTATTTCTATGATTTATCTATCAGTTATAACTTTATTATCTATTATACTTTAAATATCTTTTTTATGATATTTAAAAATTTATATGTATCATGTAGTTATTTACTTTTTTTGTTTCAATTTTTGGCCAAAATATACATAACTTTCAATAAATGTAAGTGTGAAATCTACTCAAATTGTTTTCATTAATCTAAAGTGAAATCAAAATTTCATCTTTTTTTTTTTTTGTAAAATTTTGAAGAATTAAAAACTATAGCATTAAAAACAAGATATAAAAACTTATAATATAACAAAGGACTATGACTCCATTCGGTACAAAGAGATAGACTAACAACCAGTCAAAAGAGAGTGATGGATGGGTAGATAATCCCTTATCAATAAGGCCTACCAACTTACGAGCCGGGTATGTTTTTCTATGCAACTTTTCTAGGAATAAATGATACATGGTCTGCATCTATACCCCATTAACCCCACCTTTCAGAGAATGATTTTGTGGGTAATGGGCTTCTCATAGAAACCCCTTAAACTTTGACCAGCAATTGATTTTCCAAACTAGGGTTTAACTGGTTGAACCAGGCTATTCCTTTTCTTTTTCATATTAATGCATGAATTAATACAAATTTTCTTCCTTATCAATGCGAGAATAGATGCAGGGGATTTTGTAAATGGTAGTGTCGAAATTTCAGGTCCTATTCATTGTTGTCAGACTCGGACCGCACTGGCCAGACCGGATATTAAACTGTGTTTTTGGTCACTGGGTCATGGGTCTAAAAGTCTAACAGTCTAATTAAAGGTGTCAATGGAYCGGTTTTGGATTGGGCTCTGTCTAGTCCAAAATTAATTTGGATGGATTGGATGGACCAATAAGACATATTGGATTGGACCAATCTGGTCCAAAATATTTATTAGATTGAATTGGACTTGATTCTTCCATAATAAATTTATAAGATAAGAATATAGGTGTCAATAAACTGGATTTGGGTTGAATCAATCTAAATCAAAATGAATTTGAACAGATTAGATGGTACAGATGTTGAATTAGAGCGGCCCAAAATGGTCCAGAATATTCATTGGATTGGATTGGAACTGGCCCATTTATAATGGATTCACATTGGGCTGTATTCGATTAAACCAAATCCGGTCCAATTGACACCCCTAAGTCTAACTATTTAGTTCAACCATTCAACCCTTTCAAATAAAAAGATAAAAAAATATATTAATTAATACTTTAATAGTTCTTTWTTATATTTGTCTAATTTTCAAATATTTAATTGAAATAATTTTGACCAAGTCAACATTTTAAGGAACTGGGTATCCCAATAACTGTTCTGACTGCTGATTTCCAATCCGAACCGGACCAGACAGAGCCGTATTAATGACTGGGTCTGTGTCAAAGCGGTTTGATTGTCCAATTTAATCATTCTACGGTTCTCATTCAAATAAAAATGAAAATAAGGAAATAATTACAGAACGTATTTTACATCTATTTTATATATAAAAAAAGCTTGATGGCACATGTATAATGTATTTATGCAATATTTGACCAAGTCAACCTTTTTCAAAACCGAGCATAATGAAAACCGTTTTGGTTGCAGGTCTCTGCTTCTAACAGTTTAATCGTCCGGTCCGGTCTGAGTCTGATAACACTGGTTTGAGTCAATCCCCGTTAACATTTCACAAAACCTAAGACTGTAGGGGAGAAAATGTGTATATTACAAATTATGGTCCTATATTTTGGAGTAATGATACTTCACACCTCCCAACTTTCATTTGTAATAAAACCCCTGAATTTTCAAATTTCAATACTTTGTCCCCCTCCATTAGCATTCCTGATAATTTCAAAACTATTATCCTTTAATTGTCACTTTACACAATTTTAAATTTCCAAACTATCCTTATCCAATTTTCTCTAATATATTTGTACATACATTTCATGTTTCTTTCTCTCCAAAATGARATAACATTCTTTTATTTTATCTATTTTTCTCATTTTAAAGAATTTGGATTTGCTTCTCACAAAATACATCTCACATCCCACCGTGCATTGGGGACTGAGGTGCCAAT